ACGAATATGCGCGAAGAAGAGACAATAACAGTAAACAATCGATACAACATTATGAGGTCATACGAGGCTTGTGACGACTTCTTTTTAGGGCTTTTTGTTGAAACACCGCCACGCCCTCGGCGTGAAGAGTTGAATCGAGGCACGAAACGACCTCGACCTGACACGGCGAATGATGGTGCTAAAAATTTATTTTCACCATATTGTTGCTACTCTTCTACTACTGGAACAACAGCTGATTTGAAATTGCTGGAAATGTTCAATGAATCTATCGAATACCTGATGAATCGCTCGCTCTGTGTCATTTATAAATTAGCGCAGGTGAAAAAGAATATTAAATCAGTAACTTTTATGAAATGAGACTGAAACTGAGACATCACGATAACACAGAAGAAAAAACAACGACATCGTCTTTGAACACTTCAAAATCTTCTAGCTTCTAAGTTCGCTTTTAAAAGAATCATCACAAAGCTTCAATTAAACGCGTTCAAGATGAACCCTGAAAAGATACCAATTGAGACACCCGACTGAGTGGCAAGTGATGATGTTGACGGTTGGGTGGGTAACTGAGCGAATCCTCCGACCACTTCATTTTGTTGTTTCATATGATTCAGTTGCTGTCGGATTTCGTTTTGCTCACGTGCTGAAAGTTTATGGCAACTATAAAGCTGATTGCGAGCACGATGAAAATCCTCATAAAAAGAATAAATCATAGAAATTCTAACAACAATTACTATCCAGCACTTGCTAATCACACTNAATCCTCATAAAAAGAATAAATCATAGAAATTCTAACAACAATTACTATCCAGCACTTGCTAATCACACTATAGTTGATGAGAATACGCATAAGGCAACTAGGGAAACTCGGCACGGAGGATATATTTTGATGTACGGATAAGTTCACGAATAAGTATGATGAAGTCTCGAACATCACGAATACATTAATAGCGCAATTCTTCCACTTACCGTCAATTTCAAGCCAAAATTTCTTCAGAATCTCCATAATTCTCGACGCATATCGTTCCACTTTACGCGAGGTCATTCCCTCGATCTGCAGTAAATCTGAGTTCGTTCGAGGCATCAGTGCGGCGATTTGCTCGATTCCCTCGTTTGCGAGAATTGGCTAAAAATGAGCTAATCGCATAACGCTCAACAATCCATCAATTAAAACGTCGAAATAGTGAATTCAAACGCTTTAAATTTAACGGCCAACAAATGCTTTAATTTTGGGTTTTAGATTTTAAATCTGATCGGAAGTGGGCATTCCATCACTTGAA